CACACAGGAGCAACGGCCTTAGGTGGTTTCTCATGGTGTTTCTCAATGAAATTCACGATCTTGTACTTATGTAAATGATGATGTGGACTCGGATGACAACTTCTCATGCTTTTGGTATATGAATCATGAAGCCTTATATTGTTTATATATGTCTCCATGCATGTGTTTTTCTAACACTTTGCTATGTGTTGAAATTTTGTTATTCTCCCTTCTGTAGATGAGGTGGTATGTGGTGTACTCAGGTAGACATCCATGAGTCTATGATTCATGGAAAACATGCCATGAACGTTACAAAGACAGATTGCTACAAAGGGTATGGTACTAGAGAGAAGGCAGAGCATGCTTACTCCACGTATTTGCTCTCAGTAGAGAGAAATCAGATTGGGTGGAGGTGGATGAATAACCTCTTTGTCCTACTTGTGATCTTTCTTAGTTTGATGCTTGTGTGGTCCATGTAACACAAATGGGTCACATTGAGGTTTTAGTGACTATTTGAGACTTGTAATGATGCTTTAGTTAGTTTGATGAAGAACTTTAGACTTGTTGTGATGCTTTAATTAGTTTGGTGAACACTTGGGACTTGTTATGGTGCTTTAGCTAATTTGATGAAGAACATTGAACTTGTTTCTTGTGCATTGCCATGTTGTGGTACTGTCTGCGGACAAATTTTTACTGTTTGTATGTCTTTTGTTGCAGGGTTGATGCAAAAACAAATAAAACAGAACATGACTTCATCTTTGTCTGAGTACACCACTCGATAAAACGTAATTGCCAAGAGCAAAGCTTGGCGAAGAAGCCACGTGTCCTTCTCTGGTAGCGTGGTCCGAACTTTCCCGTGTGTAAGGACATGGCTCTCGGCAAACATGGCAGCTGGGGCTTGCCTGAGCACGGTATCACCGAGTGGGCCCACTCAGCAAAACAATACTCGTCAAAGATAGGGCTTGCCGAGATTTGTTGAGCAAAACTCGGCAAATATTTCAGGCGACGTGCCTCGCTCCTGGGCTTTCAAATTCGCCGAGTACCTGCGTGCAGTACTCGGCAAAGTCGTTTGCCATGTGGCAGCCGCCGTCTCCGTACGGTCCGTCAAGTCCCTTATTTTTTTGTCGAGTCCCTGTTCAGTGCTTGATGAAGTCTTTGCCGAGTATCCTTAGCCAAGAACTATACTCGGCAAACAGTATGCCGAGTGTAAAACAACTTTCAGTGAGTTTCTACAGTTCTCGGCAAACTCGGAAATTCCAGTAGTGATGCTATGCCGAATGCGGTGGACAGAGTCAGGCACGGTGTCGCGCTGCAGGCCGTGAGGCGGCAAGTCGTACACGAGTGGCAGAGGGATGGGAGAAGGGTGAAGCTTAGAGGTTGGGGAGGAGGAAAATGGAAGTGAGGAAGGGTGGAGGCCAGAGGGAGCTAATTTGCTAGTTTCGGGGATACATGGGACGGTCGCTTGCATCCCTAAACGCAGCAGCGCTACATGTCACCGCCATAGACCTCGTTACAACGTGACACTGTAAGGCCTTGTACAATGCAAGGTGCTTATGGGAGGTGCTTGGAGAAATAAACTAGGTTTTCTTTAAGCACCGGTGACTATTCGTACAGGATAGACGTTTAACTTAAAGAAAGTGGTTTATTTTTCTAGGCACCTCCTTAAGCACCTAGCATTGTACAAGGCCTAAGTACCATGCTCTGCAATTGGGACACTGGTAGGTGTAGTTGGGTTTGGACTGTTGGTCCGGCTGGATCATTTGAAGCACAGCAGTAGATGCTTTGCCTCCAGTTGTTGATACTGTTTGTGTAGGTTGTCCGATGCGTCTCTCTGGTAGCATGAGGTTCTTGTGCTTGGCATGACTTCGCTCAGATTCCTTGCGTTGACAGACGGCACTGAAATGCACAAGCTGAACATGACACGCCTGTTGCTTCCTTCCAGTTTCAGATATGCCAACAGCACTAACAAATTTCAGACACCAGTACATCGCAATGGATTCTGTTCCTTAGATGATGGTATAGTTGAACCAACGGGTCGTTTATTCTAATCAAGCAAATCTATAATCAAACTGCGCTCGCATAAGACTATATTTCAATCTTACCAGTCAAAAAAAATTACAAGATAACCTTTAAATGATAAAGGAAATGGGCTGCTATATTCTTTTTTTTCTTTTCTGTAAGGCTCTGTTTGGATCTCAGATAATTCACTGGAAAGAGTTAATTCCTGCAGGAATCGGGAAAATTCCTGTGTTCCTAGCAGGGCCTAAATATGAAAGAAAAACTATCTACTTCTGTATTTCTGATGTATACCCCTAAGGGGGGCGGATACTTGACGTCCACACAGATTATAATCCATCATCCCACCTAGGAAGGTTTGCGGTAGCTTCATTGACCCTTTTTACCAGTGTAACCTGCAAGGAGAATAGACCAGGCAATCACAGAAGGATAGTGGTCAAATTTTGTAGATACAAATACTACCCTGATATTAAAAAGGAATAACGATCCTTGTTAAATTCAACATGATTAATGACTTTTATTGAGAACCAGCATTGTCAAGAAGCAATGATTTCAAAACCATCCATTGACCACTGGATGAAAATGCACACACTTTTTCAGTCCATAGATAACAGTGGTGATGTAAGAAACTTTCATTCAAAGTGTCAGGGACATCATCGCAAGGGTTCACTAATCTTGAAAGAAGCGCTTAAATAGAAAACATCGCAGAGCATTCCAGCTTCCGATCCCAAGCACAGCTGATGTATGCCAAGACTTACCATGCTAGCAATCATATTCATCTCAATTAATCAAATTACGCCAGTTTCAGTGGTCACTTTTAAAAGTTCCAAATCCCAGTCTTGGAAACATTTTCGGCTTGATATAGGGGGAAAAATATGGCTAACACACAGTTACCAACTCACATTAAGCTAATCATCATAGCATATAGTAAAACAGCAGCAGTAAATAAAATTCCTTCACTGTATTAATCTGTTACCTAAACTTATTCAAATCAAATAGAAGATGAATGCAATAATATGAAACTCTACTTGTTTCTTGTAAACGTTGAACACATAAACAATAACTCCGTATCTTAAAAATCATAATAAACTTGTTGCATAAGTTTCCAATTTATTCGCTGCTAAACGTACCACGCTTTCTGGCACTCCTGGAGGGGGCAATGTAAGATTTCTTGGCGGTGGCCTATCTTGGTATGATCTCTTGTCGAATCTCCACTCACCAATTTTTCCATATGTCAGTACGCCCTGAAATTGTTTGACAGGATATTGTCAAATACCTTGTGGTATGGCCAGAAGATCGACCGAATAGCCTTATGTTTAGTAACATAATAGAGAGAAAATAACGGGGTCTTTACTTTCTACCCTCAGTCATATTCATTTCATATGAATATGAGATCTATAAAAAAGAATCAGACTTATGAATAGTAGGCCCCAATAAATACCTTGAGTGTATAGTCACATCCATAGGTGAAGTGGATAATAAATGTATTGTCGAGCTTCTTATCAAATGGTGGCTGCATTTTTAAGGGGTGTCAGTAATAGCTCTAATCATGTCAATCAAGCACGTTGCTTTTAGTGCGCAAGTATATTGTCGTCAGAAAATCAGAAACAGCTTCAGCACCTGGATCATGAAATCTTTACGAAGGATATGTTGAACCCCATGCAATGCACTGGCAACAGCATATGCATACCTAGAAGCCAAAGAAAAATAACAAAAAACTGGATTTATAACAAAGTAACAATGAGAAAATGCATTTATCAAATTCACACACAAGAAAAGATAATTCTGACATTTCCAAAACCCATCCAAAAGCCTTATCAGTCTCTTGATCCTCTTTCATTTGTAGTGATACATTCATCCATGTGGGAGCAATCTTCTCAAGCAGTGTCTATCCTTTCCTCATATAACGAGAGATTAAGTTAGATTCAGTAAAATGACTAACCAAAACGGTAACTGAAACACAAGTCATGCAAAACCAAATAAATGGAATGGAGCTTCATTCATCCATGAGACTGCAGTCTATAGAGTGCCAAGTTAACAACAGTGAATTACCTTCTTAATTATTACAGGGGAATTCCCGATAGGGTCAACATTTGTGATTGGACCCCTTTCTTCAGGATAGTATTTCCTGATAATTTTTTCATGTTCGGATGGTGTGATGTAAAAGAAGGGGAATGCTGCTGGATCATTGTCAAAAGCTAAATTTGGTAAAGGTTTCACAAATATATGATCTGGTTCTGCCATCAGTATGTACCTGTGACATTCAAGCAGAACAGAACAGTTATAAACACATGGAGGGAGAGGGAGACAGAGAGAGAGAGAGAGAGAGAGAGAGAGAGAGAGAGAAATCCATGTTATGTACTACTTTAGTGATCTAAACGCTCTTATATTTCTTTACAGAGGGAGTAGGCATGAATGTGCCTAAATATCTGTCCCATCTTACATCCAAACACCAGCAACAACTTTTCTTGTTTGGCTTATTTTTGGTTAATCATGGATGTCTGGATGTCAAATCATAAAGTAGCTTGTGGAAGATTAAAAGTTAAAACCATACTGAAAGTATCGAAACCAAAAGGGCATATCAGTCTTTACTTACTCTTCTTCAATCTTTGCCTGCTGCAGCCATTGTACAAATGCCCATGGCCTGTTTAGGACGATATAGCCCTGCAGTGCAGACAGTATCATAATCAAACCTACGGAGCATTTCAAAACTGATGTTGCTTCCCCCAGTAACTGTAACTGGGTGTACATGAACGAAGGAAATAAAGTTCAAACTGACAGGGCAAATACAGTGCTAAGGGAAGGCAAGAAAGCAGGACATGGTCAGAGAGAGAGAGAGAGAGAGCGGGTGGCGAGTTACGGTATAAAGGGATTCTCAAGTGCAGACAAAATTCGACATGCGAAATTCATGACCTTTAACAGCAACCTAACAGAGACTAGTTAAAGAAATACTAATAATCACTTGATTTTTGCAGCTGCAAGTCGGAAGCGAAGCACCGATTTTCGTTTTATCTCGTCGTCTTAAAATCCCAAAGACATTGCCCGTCTGCAAACGTAGCCCCCACAACGCCCCACGTTGCACAACAAACAGACAGACAGACAAACAAACAAACAAACAAACCGAAACAGAGAGCGAGGAGGAGACCAAAAAAAGAGTCAGTCGTGGCGTACTTACACGGTCCTTGCCGGCGGGGAGGGGGTTGACGACGAATGTGGGGATCTCGTCCATGAGGCCGTCGGGCTTCCCCGAGTGCAGCACGCGGGTGAAGCCGCCCATGTCGGCGCCCTCCGGCCGCGCCTGCATCCGCTTGTACCAGAAGTACATGACCCGGCACTGCCACCTGCTGTAGGGGGAGTCCGTGGCCGTGAGCGCCACGTGGAACGGCCGCCTCCGGCCCCTCGCGCCGCCCGCCGCCCGCATCCACTCCGGCATCCGCACCACCGGGTCCCTGACCCCCGCGGTTCCTCCTCCTCCGTTGCCACCGCCGCCGCCTCGCAGCACCATGGCGAGCACGCTGTACGAGATCAGAAACGCCAACACCCCGGCCGCCAGCAGCAGCAACGCCGCCGCAACCGGGCCGCGGCCCCCTCCCTTCCTCGCCGGCGCGTGCATCGCTCTCCAGAGATTCTTTCTCTCGCCCGCTCGGTGGGTTTGGGATCAGTGGGTAGGGGTTTTGCCTTTTGGGATCGATCGGTGACGGGAGGGAGAAGCGGAGAAGGATGGAAAAGAAACAAAGTGCTCGGTCGGGACTTGCGACGGAAGCGAGGTAGCCATTCTCGGGAATAACAAAATTAAGAAAGAACAAATGGCATCACGGTAATTAAGAGATGAGCGGGGTGTCCTGGGATGCCCACTATCAGGTGGACCCGCCGTGTCAGATGAAGGTGGGGCCAACAGGTCGGTGACGATGAGGAACGTGCGCGCCGGTAGGAAAGGGGATGGAGAAAACGTCGTCTGTGCACTGTGTCAACTCTGTGTTTGCGCTCTCCGTGCGGCGGGTTGACTTGACCCCAACTGCAGGTATGGGCCGGCTTGTACCTTCTACAGCGATCGACGAGGGCCCGTTGCTTGTCTCATTCATCGGAAGTCATGCTACTGCTCATCAGAATTTACGCAAGCAAATGGATCGATTTTCATTACTCTCCCTCTGATGCATATTAATTGTCGATGATTTATTATAAATTTCTTATATTTATGTTAATATTTCTGATATATTACAAAGGTGTACTTCCTTTTGCTATGGAAAACCTCTCTAAACAAGGCTTTCAAAAAGAATTAGTACTACTAGCATATTTTGCATTCAAAGGGAAATAATCCTGTTTAGGACATCTGCAGCCGGCGCCTCAAGCCCGCCTCAAATGTCCAGACGGACGGGCCGGTCCTTGACCGGTCAAAAAAAACATAGACGGGCACCTCGAACGGGCCCCAAACGTCTAGGCTGGCCGGCACCACTCATATCCAGCCCAAATGTAGGGCGGATATGAGAATGCCCAGGTTCGTCCGTCAAGTCGAACCCGATAGGACTACCGCACCATAAATTGCACAAAGTCCATCAAACTCTTCCGCCTCCTCCTGCCTCCCTCCGATCTTGTTGGGGAACGTAGCATGCAATTTCAAAAAAATTCCTACGCTCACGCAAGATCTATCTAGGAAATGCATAGCAACGAGAGGGGGAGAGTGTGTCTACGTATCCTCGTAGACCGCAAGCGGAAGCGTTTGACAACGCGGTTGATGTAGTCGAATTTCTTTTAGCTCTGACCGATCAAGTACCGAACGTACGACACCTCCGAGTTCTACACACGTTCAGCTCGATGACGTCCCTCGTCCTCTTGATCCAGCAAGATGTCAAGAAAGTAGATGAGTTCCGTCAGCACGACGGCGTGGTGATGGTGATGGTGATGTGATCTGCGCAGGGCTTCACCGAAGCACCGCGATAATATGACCGGGGGTGTAAACTGTGGAGGGGGGCGCCACACACGGCTAACAGTTGATGTTGTATGTTGTAGGTGCCCCCCTCCCCACATATATATAGGTTTGATGGGAAGAGAGGCAGCCAAGGGGTGCCCCAAGTAGGAGGAATCCTACTTGGGGTCCTCTCCCAATTCGACCAACCCCCCTCTCCTATTCCTATTCGGAGTAGGAAGGGAAAAGGGAGAAGGGGGAATCCTATTCCCTTTTTCCTTTCCTCCTTCCCCTTTCCTTCTCCAATTTGACCAGCCCATACGAGGGGTGGGCGCACCAGCCCCTTTGTGGCTGATGCGTTTTCCCTCTTGGCCCATAAGGCCCATATCTTTTGCCGGGGGTGCCCGGAACCCCTTCCGGTGACCCGATAAGTAACCAGTGCTTCCCGAAACACTTTCAGTGTCAGAATACCATCATCCTATATATCAATCTTTACCTCTCGACCATTTCAAGACTCCTCGTCATGTCTGTGATCTCATCCGGGACTCCGAACAACATTCGGTCACCAAATCACATAACTCATATAATACAATATCGTCATCGAACGTTAAGCGTGTGGACCCTACGGGTTTCAGAACTATGTAGACATGACCGATACACCTCTCCGGTCAATAACCATAGCGGAACCTAGATGCTCATATTGGCTCCCACATATTCTATGAGGATCTTTATCGGTCGAACCGTTATGACAACATACGTTATTCCCTTTGTCCATCGCTATGTTACTTGCCCGAGATTCGATTGTCGGTATCTTCATTACCGACAAGTCTCTTTACTCGTTCCGTAATGCATCATCCTGCAACTAACTCATTAGTCACTTTGCTTGCAAGGCTTCTTATGATGTGCATTACCGAGAGGGTCCAGAGATACCTCTCCGATACACGGAGTGACAAATCCTAATCTCGATCTGTGCCATCCCAACAAGCACCTTCAGAGATACCTGTAGAGCATATTTATAATCACCCAGTTATGTTGTGATGTTTGATAGCACACAAGGTATTCCTCTGGTATCCGAGAGACGCATAATCTCATAGTCAAAGGAATATGTATTTGACATGAAGAAAGCAATAGCAATAAAACTGAACGATCATAATGCTAAGCTAACGAATGGGTCTTGTCCATCACATCATTCTCCTAATGATGTGATCCCGTTTATCAAATGACAACACATGTCTATGGTTAGGAAACTTAACCATCTTTGATCAACGAGCTAGTCTAGTAGAGGCTTACTAGGGACACAGTATTTTGTCTATGTATCCACACATGTATCAAGTTTCCGGTTAATACAATACTAGCATGAATAATAAACATTTATCATGAAATAAGGAAATATAAAATAACAATTTTATTATTGCCTCCAGGGCATATTTCCTTCAAATCTTCCCCGTGTCCGAGCCCTCGCCGTTCACCACCCTTGCTTCACATCCTCACTGTCAGTCCCGGCCCACCGTCCTAGATGTCGTCCAGCCCGTCCCCGACCACCGCGACATAGGCTGTGTCCACCTCGTCCTTTGCTACTTGTGAGATGCGCTGGGATTTTCCTCAAAGAGGAGGCGAGATGCAGTACAGTAGAGATAATTATTTTCCTCGGTGAGAACCAAGGTTTATCGAACCAATAGGAGAATCACACAAAGCCTCGTGAACAGCACTTGCACACACAAAATCAACTACCTGTATCCAACGCAGACAAGAGGGTTGTCAATTCCCTTGAACTCGTTACTTGCAAGCATCAAGTCTTGTATAGGTAGATGGATAAATTGCAAAACAAAATGAAAGAAAAAAAATTCAGCAAAGGAATTTAGTTTTATAATTTGATTAAGGTAGACCCCAGGGGCCATAGTTTTCACTAGAGGCTTCTCTCTCGAACACATAGGATACGGTGGGTGAACAAATTACGGTTGGACAATTGATAGAAAATCGCATAGTTATGACGATATCCAAGGCAATGATCATGTATATAGGCATCACGTCCGAGACAACTAGACCAACTCCTGCCTCCATCTACTATTATTAGTCCACCAATCGACCGCTATCCAGCATGCATCTATCGTATTATGTTCATAAAAAAAGAAGTAACACCTTAAGGAAGATAACATGACGTAGACAAAGTAAACCCAATCAATATCAGTAAACCCCATCATTTTACCCTTAATGGCAACAATACAAATATGTGTCTTGTCCCCTTCTGTCATTGGATATATATAGCACCGCCAGATTGAACCCATCACAAAGAACCTCTCCCACTGCAGATAAATCAATCTAGTTGGCCAAACCAAACAGATAGATCGGAGAGAAATACAAAGCTATAACATTCATGCATAAGAAAATTAAAAAAGACTCAATTACTTCTCATGAATATTCAGATTATGAACCCACAATTCATCGGATCCCAATAAACACACCACAAAAGAAGATTATATCGAATAGAACTTCAAGAACATCGAGGAGAACATGGTATTGAAGATCAAAGAGAGAGAAGAAGTCATCTAGCTCCTAGCTATGGACCCGTAGGCCTGTGGTAGACTACTCAGGCATCATCGGAAGGCGGCAAGGATGTTGTAGAAGCCCTCGTGATCGATTCCCCTTCCTGCAGAGTACCGGAAAAGGCCTCCAGATCGGATCGCGAAATAACAGAAGCTTGTGGCGACGGAAAAAGTGTTTCGGGTGGCTATATGTTGGTTTGTGAATATTTGAGCACTATGGAAGTGAAATTAAGTCAAACGAAGATGCGTGGGGCCCACAAGCTCATGGGGCGCGCCTACCCCCCTGGGTGATGTCTACTACACAAGCTTCTTCTTGTAGACGTTGTTGGGCCTGCAAGTGCACAGGTTTGTATGACAGTAGCAAATTTCCCTCAAGTGGATGACCTAAGGTTTATCAATCCGTGGGAGGCGTAGGATGAAGATGGTCTCTCTCAAACAACCCTGCAACCAAATAACAAAGAGTCTCTTGTGTCCCCAACACACCCAATACAATGGTAAATTTTATAGGTGCACTAGTTCGGCGAAGAGATGGTGATACAAGTGCAAAATAGATAGTAGATATAGGTTTTTGTAATCTGAAAATATAAAAACAGCAAGGTAACTAATGGTAAAAGTGAGCGTAAACGGTATTGCAATGATAGGAAACAAGGCCTAGGGTTCATACTTTCACTAGTGCAACTTCTCTCAACAATAATAACATAGATAGATCATATAACAATCCCTCAACATGCAACAAAGAGTCACTCCAAAGCCACTAATAGCGGAGAACAAACGTAGAGATTATGGTAGGGTACGAAACTACCTCAAAGTTATCCCTTTTGATCAATCTATTCAAGAGTTCGTAGTAAAATAACATAGAGCTATTCTTTCCGCTCGATCCATCATAGAGTTCATACTAGAATAACACGTTAAGACACAAATCAACCAAAACCCTAATGTCACCTAGATACTCCATTGTCACCTCAAGTATCCATGGGCATGATTATACGATATGCGTCACACAATCTCAAATTCATCCAACCAACACAAAGTACTTCAAAGAGTGCCCCAAAGTTTCTACCGGAGAGTCAAGAAAACGTGTGCCAACCCCTATGCATAGGTTCATGGGCGGAACCCGCAAGTTGGTCACCAAAACATACATCAAGTGGCACGTGATATTCCATTGTC